GGCTCTGCCAATTTTCAGTTTAAGAAAAAACCAGCCGATAAGTTTTGAAGCTTGAGTCATGAACAATAAAACTTATCAGTTAAATTTTTTAAAATGATATATTTTTTTTTGTTTTAGTATTTTGAAGTTGACCAATTGTCATTATAAACAATTAATGATTATAGATGATCTGCACTGTATATAAACTCAAACACATTAAATTAAGTAATGCAAAATAATTATCAATATTTTATTTTATATAAATTCATTAAATTCCTAAATCATTATCTTCTAGAAGAAATATCTTAATCAATCAATATTACAAAAAATGATAACACAAATCTAATTATTATTTTTAAAAGAACAGTTTAGATTCATTAAAATTCATTATATTGCTAAAATAATCTAAAATCATTAAATCTAATTTTTAAAAAGTACTAAATATGTGTTTGGATTAAAAGAATAGACAATTTGCAAGCCTCTTTTGTTTGATATAAGATCACCTTATTGAATCATACTTTTTTTAATTCTGTATTTAGCATGTACAAATCATGGTCTGGTAGGATTTTCTCTCCAACATTTACATCAGGATGCCATACATCAATCTCTTGATTCAGGAGGGGTGGATAGACAACTTCCCCTATCTTGCCACACCAATCAAAATCTATTATCTTTATTGAATTATCAGGACCAACCAAGATGTTTGAAAGCCTCATATCTCCATGCACAAAGCCCAAAACATGTATTTTTTTTATTGACTCTATCACCTTATTCAGCGTTGACACTAAGAACTCTTTGTCCTGAGCAAGATAAAACAATGAATTGTGTTCCATTAGTTGTTCCATAATTACAACATACCATCCACCAGCAATCTGTTCACAGAAAAACAATTTTGGTGCAATTCCCAATGCTTGACATTCTTTGTGACATGCCTCTGAATATCTCTTAGCAAACTTGATAATCACATGTTGAGATGATCCATTATTGTATTTCATTATTGCTTGAAAAACGTAGTGATTTTCTACCCTTTTAACATTAGTGATGTTAGCCATTTAAAAATCCTTAGCCAGCTAAGCCATTTACTACCTAAATTGGTAATTTTATTTCTATAACAAGAAAGTAATGCAGAAATCTATTACCAAATTTAGAAATTAGGCATGCAGATTATTAGCCGGCTAACATCACTATTTAACATAGGTGAGATTGGCAATAGACTCTCCAATATTTGCTTTGTTGAAACATGGGAAAGATGGCTGATAGTTCTAATTATTTCGCTGTGTTGGCTTAGCTGATCATAAAATGTTTCCAAGTTGATAAGGGCTATTTTCAAAGCCTTGACCACATAAGCAGTCTCCAATATTATTTTTTCATGGTGAGGGAGATAGAAGAGGGGCATCACAGGTGTAAGGGGTTCACATACTGGCTTTCCCATAAATACAGCTCCAGCTACACCCATGTATGGCCCTGCAAAGTTAAATAGAATTGTTCAGAAAGAAGAAAAGTGAATACATATACAATATGAGATAATTGAATTGATAGAGGTGTTGATGCTAGATATACATTTGAGTGAAAAAAATTGCTATCCATACATACCTGCTAGGTACACCAAGAATACCGGAAATTGAGATTGAGAAATTGCAGGGCTATTTGTAAATTTCTTGATAAATTCTACATAGTAAACAGTTGACTGAACATATGCACACCCATTTCCCATTCCAATCTCTGGCTTCACTTCTAAGTTCAACAGAGGCACTTGAAAGTTTCCTTTGGTAAACATAATGCTACCATCTGTTGTTTGATTATTTCCAAATTATAGATGTCAAACACTCTGTTGAGATATGAACTCATTAGTTTATGAAAGCAATTTCTCCTTGCATTCTCATCTGGGAAAAAGGAACACATCTTATTTGAGAGCTCACAAACAAATATAATATCAAATTTGTTCAGCTCAATGCCCTTGGCATCATCCTGAAACTTTGCTAGGATGTCACTGCAGAGTGTTACAGGCAGACCAGCTGCAGAAGATGGATGGTAGTTTAGGATGAAGGGATCCTTTTCATCTTGGTAATCCTTAAATTTTCTAGTATCAGCTAACTCAGATGGAGGAGGATAGAATTGTTGGACTTTTTGAAGAAATGACTTCTTTCTTCAGTCAAGTCCTTATCACTAGCACTTCTTTTTTTACCTTGATTTGATAATATGAATGAAACAGGAAAATAAGATTTTTATATAATTCAATGATTTTGATAAGTTACCTTTATCTTTTGTTTCATGAAAAATATTAATAACTTTGTGAAATGGATAAATTATACCAAAATGCAAGATGTAACAACAAAAACATACCTGTTTAATAGGAGACTAATATTAGAAATAATTATATAATAAATTTAAATATTGAATAAGATAATTGTAAAAATCAAAATATACCTTTATCCAGTACTATTGAAACAAAGATAAAAAAGTATAGGTAAAATAGATAGAAAGGTAATGGATGTTTAAAAAAATATATATCCAACATATTGGTGAAATGAACATGATGCAGATTTGAGAGTGTTCATAATAATGTTTTGGAAGAGACAATTTTTAAATGGATTCACAAATAATAATGTATAGAAAAATAAAAAGATATCATTATATAGATTTTCAGTTAGTCTTTTTAAAAAATTTCTTGAAAAAAAACCCCAAAACTTACCTTCTAGAAGTAAACCAATACAGAATAAATAACCAGATAGGTAATATTTTTCATTTTGTAAAAATAAAAAGCAAAAATCAGTTAAAATTGCAAAAAGTATACCAAACAAATAAATAAACAAAATGGAATGATAAAAAATAATTTTTTTATTTTGGTGATTTGCCTATGAATCAGTGAATGACATATTTTATAATAACTAAAATATTTATCAGCCTTCAATGTATAAACCAACATTTACATTTGAGATCTTTACCTGTCATTTTCTTGCCACTTTTTAATTGCTTTTTTAATCTTTCTACTTCTAACTCTAACTCTTCTACCTTTCTTTTTAAACTCTAAAAAGGATGATTGTTTGTGCAGAGAATAATTATATATAAAAATTATTTTATGTTGAATTAGTGTTTACAATATTGAATACTAAAATAATAATTTATTGAAATAAATACCCTCTCGCTGTCATTTTCTTTATTTTCACTAATAAAAAAAAAGTTTATAATTAACTAGAGTGATGATGTGTAGCAATGATTGCAATAACCACCAATCTTTATATATAAACTAGAGTGACAACAAGTGGCAACAATCACCACTACCCTAACACGCCAGAATCGGTTTCTTTTCTTCTTTTATTTGTATTTTTAACAAAGGACATTTTTTGTTTTTTAAATGTGTTGTTTGGCATAAAATATAAAGAAATTAAAAAAAACAATACAAAATAGTCTTTTGGTTTGAAAATAATAATTTGGATTGATTATGAGTGATCAACAGGATTAATAAAACTAATCATATATGTTGGAAGAAACGACAAATAGATACACATAAACAATATTAGTATTATTATTGGCACTTGGTGTTGTACAAATTTTGACTTTTTTTCTTGGAAAAACAATAAAAACAATTTATTTTTTGACAGAGTCCAAGGTGACAAAACACAAGTCTCCTAAAGACGTGTTAATAACTAACCAGAGGTACTATTTTTTACTTGTATTGATATAATGTGGTGTCTTTTATTTTATATAAATATTTTAATTGTAATCAAACGTGGAACAGATCTTGCTGGGTAATTATAAGATTCCTTATCAACAACAAACAATTGGCATTTGCTTTTCGTAATCATTAATATTAATAATATTATTATATTATTATAATCACAAGATGTCAAAGCAACACACTGTTGAAAAAGAAACATTTTGAATATACAATGTTTGATTATTGGAAATTGGCAGACGTTGAAACACGCACACTGCCTTGAACACTTTACAGCCATTCACACACATTCCTCGTGTACAAAAGGCTAATTGGACCAAGATTACTATGATGATATGATGATGCTGTTAAATTCCAAGGGAGGGGCACATGGCCTTGGAATGCATCAAAGCTGCATCAATCGTCAATGACGTTTTCACTAATCTTCACAGACCAGAGAAAGCTGCTGGCATGCTAGATGAAAAGTTACCCGCAACGATCTTACCTCTAGGGTAAGGATGGCTCTGTGATCAAGTCGCAACTCTGGAGGAATATTATGAGAATCTGCAACTCATTCCAAGCTCAGGAAGTTGCAATTCGGAGCAGGGTTTGTGACCCTGAAATTGCATTTGGGCTCTGATGTTAAGAGGAAAGTTGTAAAATAGTGCTTGTTTTGTATAATCATTTTCATAAATTCTCTGTTTCTCTGATACCAACCAATTTATAATTTTGGGTAGGGGACTGAATGGGGTTTTGCCCAATCAGTCTTCTGTCCTATAAATTAAAATTATTGCATGATTATATATATCTTTGTCAGCAATATGGCCAACAAGGAAAAAGTTATAAAATGGTTTGGATTTTGTTTGGTATGTTATGTATAAATCAAACATTCCCATAAATTTTCTGCTTCTCTTTGATTTTTATTTGACCAACTGAATTTGTTATTTAAATGGGGGTAGGGTTGTTGGTGAATTGGCATGCCACTGACAAGACAGCAACCCAGGACTCAAAACTCTGAATCCAGGGAAAATCCAAAGCAGTAACCCAGGTTGTAACCTCTGAGTTGGAGAATTTTGAATCAGTCTTAACACCAACTTTATTCTAGTGAGAGAGGTATAACACAAAGCAATCATCTCACAAGCACCAGCTATCAGTGATCAATGCCCATATGGAAACAGCAAAGCCTGGTCTGAGAGGAAGATAGGGAATGTTTTGTCCAAAGCCTTCCAACTTGTTTTCACCTTGCCCATGGAAAAAAAATTCCATGGTTATGAGGCGGTGTGAAAGCACCTGTTGACTTGTTTGTGACAGGAAATTTTAATTAAATCTGACACCTGTGATCAACATCAGATTTATTATTCATAAGGAACCATAATTGATAATTAGGAAAAATAATTTATTTTGTGAATCCCAGAAATCTGGGTAGATAGGCATTATTAGAAGTTTCTAATACATGGGTGATGCAATTATTTGTTATGTTAATGATGATACCAAATGTATTGAATAATCAGGTATTCATGTACAAGTATTAATAACAACAAAAAAGCTAAGTCATGTCTATTTTTTGTCTATATAAATAGAGTAGAGTAGCAATCAACAGGTTAATAATCACCACCACCTTTTTTAATATACAAAAAAAAATAACAACAAATATTATTTAATTCTAAGCAAATTTTTATTATTTTTATATGGGGTCAGTTCTATATATCACTCAAGATAGAAAATGAGATTATAAAACTGTTAATTATAATCACATTACAAATGACTATATTTTAATCCCTGAAATCCTTGGTAACACCAATGTTCACTTTGTCTGGTTTTGTTGCAGTATGCCCCAATTTAGATATTTAGACATTTTTGTCTAAATACTATTGTGATGTTAGACAACCTAATGGTGGCCAAAACTAACCCATAGTTTAGGCATTTAGGCAATTTTGGTTTAGGCCTAATTTTGCCCTTGAAAACTTTCTGGTGAAATTGGCAAAACTCAAAATTGCCTAAATTATGGGTGAAATTCCTAAACTGTGGGCGAAACTCCCAAACTGGCAAAACTTATTAATATATTAATATTAGTGTTTAAATTTCTAACTATGCATGTTATGACCTGGACTGTTAGATAAGCTTTTACTTGCCAATTTCCAACTATAACTTTGTTTAGTTTTTGCTTTTTAATGGTGGTGGTTGCCCATTTGAAAGACAAACTAGCTAATATCTCTTGATGAAAAAGAAAAAAATAGGAAATGTATTAAATCACATTAATTCTTATATTATTATTACATTATTTTGAAATATTTTGTTATAATGATAATAATAAAGTCAAAACTAAATTAATAGATTAATATGTTAAAGTTTTGTTATCTATAAATTTTTAATCATAGGTTTGACAGTTTAGGCAATTTTTGAGTTTTGCCACTAGTTTAGGAGCCTAAACTCCTAAAATAATTTCGGCTGCCATCATTAGTCCAAAGTTCAATTTTTAATATAAAGAATGGGAATTTAGATAAACTTTAAAATGTAAAAGTTTGATAACCAATCAAGCTGTGGGAATAGTTCTTCCTCAATTAGCCTGTCTGAGGATTTTTTATTTATATTAGTAAAAAAAATTTTTGTAATGGCTCAAAATTACCAATTTATTGGTTTTACCATAAACAATGGAAATTTAGGTAAAGGTCCAATAACCAAGCAAGCTGTGGGTATAATCCTTCTGCAGTTTTGTTCCAAGGCACTCAATTGATAGCCTGTAAGAGAAATTTTGTAAGGTTCAAAGTTATGGTGATTATTATTATTATAAAAATTTTAGAGAGGTCACAAATTTTCAAAATGATGGTTAAAAAATCCGTTAAATGATTGTAAAAACGTGATGCTTGCTATCTTTCAGGACTACCGTAAAGTCTGGAAAGATAGCACCCCTACTTTAAAACAATTGAGTGTCAATATAAAAAAAATATTACACATATGTAAAAAGGGGATGCTATCTTTCCAGACTTTACGGTATATGGTATATTAGTATGAAATTTATTTAACTTACATAATAATAATTTATTAAACGGTATATTCATAATCGCGATTTTAATGATGGTAATTTATTTATATCAGAAAAGATTAGTGCTTCTGGAAATAGGTCGTTTTGTGTCGATCATATACTAAAATGTAATGTGATAATTTTGAATGTCGATCAAAATCAAAGTGTTGGAGAAAAAATTTATAAAACAAATTCCCTTTCAATTTTTATTTTACCATGGCCATAATAATAATAAATAGAAATGATATAATATTAAGTATTGTTGCGATCCTTTTTTCTATTCTTGGAGTATTTTTTTATCGAATGATAAGTAAGTTTTTCCTTTTTTTTATTTTATTTTTCATACAATCTATTAAAAATAATTTTAACATTTTTGATCAAAAAAAATAAACAGCAAGAACTCTTAGAATAATTAATCAAGATGAACGTCCTAGATTTAGACTTAGACATGTAACTCCCGAGATGGTATCTATATCCATTCATTTGTTTCCTTTATAAGAGAGACATTTATTTAATTTAATAGTCAATTCTTTTTTGCCAACTTTTTTCCCTTTTCATAGATTGAAACGGTGCATTCAATGTTTCCTGATATACCAACCGCTGCAATAAAATATGATCTTCAAAAAACTGGATCAGTAGAAGTTACTTGTGAAAATATTCTTAGAAATAATAGCACTCTCCCAATGGTATTTATAATATAATTCTCCTATATACTTGTATACAAAAAAATACAAAAAAACAAAAATTGATGAAAATTCTTTATGGAAAATATATATATATATGAAGCCACCACCACCTCGTCCGCCACCAACAGCAACAGCATCATCATATTCAAATGTAACTCCAAATCATAAATCACTCATTGATAAATATAAGCTTCATGAGGCTGTTAAACAAGATGTTGTTCCAAATGAGCCACCAAAAGTATGGGAAGCTACACCTGAAAAAAGGCAAGAAATATTACAAATGAAAAAAGATGCAATGGTTTTACAAGCTAGAAAGTTAGTATTTATTATTATTATTTTTATGGGAAAAGCGAAGAAGAAAATATATAACTAATTATTATTATTTAAAGACGGTTTCTTGCTCAACAAAATCAGAAATCTTCATCACAACCAAATAATGAATCTAAATCATCAATAAATAATACTGACACTAATATTAATACTAACGCTTCTATTAACTAACACCATTACTAATGAATCTTAATATCAAGAGAAATTCTACATTATAAAAAAAAATTTTTAAAAATTAGTATATAATAAATTATAACCATTATAATAAAATATAGGTCAAATTTTTTTTGACACAATTTTATTATTAATAAAAATGACTTACAACATCTAAAATATGTATCTAAACTTTCTATTAATTTATTTAAATTAATACATCCATTACTTGCAATGCATGCCTTGATTTCTATCAAGTATGTTTTCAATTAATTTTAAGTAAACATCTATTGGAATTTTATTCCATTCTTCAATTAAAACGACCTTTTAATTAATTCAAATTTTTTCTGGGTTAGATTTTTTCAAATACAAGTCTCCAATTCATTGTTATTTGAGTAAGGAGACTGACTGTCTTGGCCAACCTTATAAAAAATTTGTTTTAACCACCCTTAGCAGTATGTATGGATGCATTGTCATCTTGAAACAGATAACCTTGATTATTAAAATCATTGTTAATGGCAATTTTACCATCGATTTTTATAAATGGGCCCAGAAGAACAGCTCCAAAACATTACAACCACTATCCACACGGGAAAGTATAAATTTGATATTTTCCTCTTAAGGAGGTACTTTAGAATTAAAGGTGAAAATAATCAAATGGCTGCTTAAAGGAATAGCTTCAGATGATGGGTACTGGTGGAATTGGTGTTTCTCTTCATTTTATGGTGCAGCTCATCTAAAGACGCCAACAGCTGCGCTACGGCCTGGAATTTTGTCGAAATTATAAAATATATACAGTATTTATTCTATTTATCTATTTCATTAATTACAAACTCGGGTATTCATTTGTCTATGAGACTTATATTTCCGAATTGCATACTCTACTGTATGCCCTGTCAAACCTTTTCTGTAAACATCTATCCAATATGATTTTCTTGCAAAGTTTTTTATCTAAAGCTTTAGGAACCACCAACTGCAAACTAGACCAGATGTAAGCAGGGCCCGGAAACTTACATTAGATGTTCCTAGAAAATTTTCACTCGGCCTATTGTCTATAAACTTTCTATTAGCGATCTTTTTCTACAAAAATTGGATTTTATAGGTAACTTTAATGTTGCACTTTTAAATTGGCATTAAAAGTAATGTGGGTTTACTGGTTGTGTCCACATGATGATATTGATATTGAACCAAAATTTCCCAGGTTCAAAATGTTTTGATAGGTTAAAAGTCAAATAATTGTCATGTGACAAATTTTCAATTTTTTTATCCACATGTAAAACTTGATAAATCGGACGCAACAATCAATTCTTCAAAGCAATTGATGATATAAATAAATGACCGACTTATCGAATTCACACGTGTATTAATTAAATAAAAGGAAGAAATTCTGGGAAGTATCCATTACACATTCTTATTTATTTTGCCAGTGTACGTAATTTTCTGCACCGTAGAAACAAATTGGAATGTTTTTTTGTCTGCACCTTAACGCATTTATACATCGAGTTTCAAACATTTCAGAGTCTTGTGTTTCATAAATTGAAGAACGAAATGAAATCAATCAATTCGAGGGTATCTCTTGACTGGATACACTCGCTATAACACCCACGCAGCTTTTCTCTTATCTTATCTAGTGAATCTGATCGTTTCTATTTCACTTTCTTGTCTTGTCTTTCATATTGCGAGGAATGAAATGTTAGTATGGGCGGATTTTTGGAATTGGACCTTTTTTGTCACTTTATTTGTCACATAATACCTGATGATTATGATCACAGTATTAAAAAATCGTAAAAAACCCCATTATCTGTATGTCTATATATATGTATTAGTATTAGGTGCTATTTTGCAAATTTACATACTCCATTGTTAAATTGAAATACATAAAACTCTAATGTCAGGAAGTATAGATCGATCATTTATCTAGACCAAATATTGTTTTTATTAAAAGCAAGCTAGCTTCTTTTGATAAACAATGAAGCACAATATACGATTGTTTTATACATGGCTGTTGTACATGAATTTTGAATTTGAAATTCACGCGCGTGAAATTCAAATTAACCATTCGGAATTTTGTATCTGCCAACCATTAACCTTTTTTCGTATAGTTGTTAAATTAGTGTTATAACCCGATTGTTTAACGGATGGACCCGTTAAGGGTTTTTTCATACGGATTGGTAATGGGTTAATCCGTTAAAATAGCAAATATTATTGGATAATATTAACAAAAAACCAAAAACATTTATTGTTGGAATTTAAAATAATAAAATATTTATTTATTTAATTTGAAGAATGAATGCATTAAAAAAAATTATTGTTAATATTAACGGATTTAATGGATCACTCTCCCAAATTTAAAAAAAAAAAAAAAAATGAAAATCACTTGACTAAAATCGAGCCTTTTCCAAAAATGTGTTGTTAAAGAAAATTAAACTTTTTTTCTCCTATATATTACTAAAAATACCAGCAAGAAATTAATCCATTATTGATTTAGTAATAGCATCGCCACTAAAAAAACAATTGGAATTAATTCAAAAAAATTTTAAAGAAATCAAGTTTTTTTTTGAAAAGATTCTTGCCTTTTTGGAAAATGAAGAGAAATGTAGCAACTTTATTAAAAATATTATTTCTAATATTAAAAACGACCATACCTTTTTTGAAAATGTGAAGAAAAAACGTAACTATTCGGAATTAATTTTATTATTGCTTTTCTAATATTAAAAACGGCCATGCCTTTTTTTGAAAGTGTGAAAAAACGTAAACGATTTGAATTTTTAATTTAATTAAAACATCAAGCCATGCCTTTTTTTGAAATGTGAAAAAAAACCGTTATTGTTGAAGGAATTGAATGAAGCTTTTTTGAAAAAAGTTCTCCTGTTGCTTATTGTGAAGAAGAAAAATGCAACAATTCGAAAATTTGATTCGTTATTTAACAACCATGCCCTTTTTGAAGTGATGAAGGAAATCTTCATCAATATAAAAAATAGCAGTAGGGTATGAATTGTAAATTGTAAAAAATAAATAAATTGTAATAAACAATAAATAAATAACAAATAATAATTATAAAAAAAAATAAAAATAAAATAACATGTGTTCTATTTTTTGTTGCCAATTGTTTCATTAAACACATAATTTCCACTGAAGGAACAATCAGCAGAACTGCTCTTTATAGAAATGACAATGTTTTTAGAAAGATTATCTTCAAAAGATATTATGACAAGGCAAACAATGTGTTGAATTTTTCCAAGCATTCAATTGTTGCTCTGGTTGGGAGATATGTTATGGAAGAGGGAGTCAAATATGTATGTTTCAATTCAGAATGAAGAGTATGAAATATATAGCATTTTATGTAATAGTTAGGATAGGAGATCAGATGGAAAATATCCTTACTTTTTTTTAACTGGCTTGGCTGGAACTGGCAGAACTTTTATGACCAGGCAAAT